ATTATTTTCCGAGCAAAAAATAAAACTTAAAACGTAACGATTATTTTCCGAGCAAAAAATAAAACTCAGTTAATAACGATTAAAAAGTGATTTTTATAATAAAACTTATAACCGTTACGGTCCCTGAAAGAAAATAATCGGAATTGCCGTAAGTAACTTCGAAAGCATTTTAAATATATTTACAGAAATCAAAAAGCGAATCGGGATTAAATAGCTGTTGTCTCATCTAAAGAAAAAATGAAATTTGAAGAAATCCTAGACACTCGACTATATGGGCGAATATATATAATAGAAAAGTTGAAAATGTCATCATATGCGGGGAACTTTAGCTTTTATGGTTTCAATAGATTAAAAAATGCATTCCAAAAATGCAATTGCAAAGCTACAGCGTTTTTAGATTTCACAGCGTCATTGGAGCAATGACGATTAATGAAAGAAATTAGTGCAAATTTCGATTATAAAAAATATAACAAAAATTACGAATTTGAGCATAGGTAAGTAAAGTCACGAACACATTGAAAACGACGAGCTACTGGCCACAGCTTCCAATTTGTCGATAGCGACACGACATCATGAATTCGTATGAGTTTGACATAAAAGAAGAGGAAGAACCTTATCTGTCGCTGGAAAAATAGAAATAGATCTAATCTGGCCACAACCACACTCGTAGTGTAGCTCTGGCGCCGTCAAAATAATGATCTACATAATAGTACGTGTTAAAATAATTTGACAGCTGTGGTCTGTAGCCCGTCGTTTTCAATGTGTTCAGCACTGCTCTAAATCCAATGTAAAATGTTTGGGGATACATAATATAATTTTTTTAATTTCTTCCTTTTTACCACTTTTCTTTAGAATTGCTTATTCTTCAAAATGAAAGCGAAGCTTTTCCCATGCCTATAAGTAAATAAATTAGCGGGTAATTTCCAAACAAAGTGTACATGGCAGGCATGGCAGAAAAAAGAAGGCAGTTTCAATAAACCACTTTTTGACGGATACTGGGATTTTTGAAGATTCATAATTTGTCCATGTTGCCAGCAGCTTTACCATATTGTTAATATTTAAAAATAAATTAAGGAATTTCGAGATCGGAATTTCTTTCACAGTTAATGGGTATAAATATTTTAGTCTTAGAAGAAACCAAACAAGTCTAGTACATGATATATTTACATATTTATTGAAAATATGTAGATACATAAAAAGAACGCAATTTTACTTCGAAATACAATGGCATATGTTCTTACGTTTATGGAATTTTTCACCCCTACCCTAAAACTGAAGATTAATCTATATGTATGGGTGTGCGTTAACATTATTATTAAATTTTTTTATTTAATAACCCACCCACCCATCAAAACATAAATAATTGAAAAGCATTAAAGTAATACCCAACCAAAAATTCCAAGTACTCATCTCAGTATTCTTCGTTTCCAAAGCGTTCCTGCCTGCAAGAAAAATGCATTCCTTTTCTATGTTTTGACCAACACAGTTGTCCAATAATGAAACGAGTACGTTTGATTGAATTAGTACATGTATATAAGTATTAAAGAAAAACCGATTACAGAGTCTTATCGATTATTATGAGATTATAATGCTGTGTTCCCATTCATGAACATACCGCCCCCCCTGAACAACTGTACAGGAACAGGGGAGAGGCGCAACCTTCGTGATAGGCCTTTTGTATTCTCTGCGGCTGGTGCGGACAGATACAACTCGTACTCGATCGTCATCGCCTTTGCTGACATCTGTTATCCTACCCAGTACCCATTTCGAAGGTGGAAGGTTTGGTTCTTTTAAGACCACAAGTGTTCCCACTTTTAAATGAACGGTATCTAATTGCCACTTCTTCCGCTGTTGTAACGATGTAAGGTATTCGGTATGCCATCGCTTCCAGAACCCTTGTACCATAGCTTGCAGATTGCGCCACCGGAGCAGACGATTTGGATTAATGTCTAGAAGTGACGATTCAGGTAAACAGGTATATGGTTCCCCAATAAGGAAGTGCGCTGGGGTAAGCGGATCAAGGTCGTCATCAGAAATTGCACACAATGGTCGACTGTTTAGGATGGATTCAATCTGAGCTAGTACAGTTGCGTACTCTTCAAATGTCAAGACGCTGTTTCCCGTAACACGTCGCAGGTGAAGTTTTATGGAGCAGACACTAGCTTCCCAGAGGCCGCCGAAGTGTGGTGCAGATGGTGGAATGAAGTGCGAGCGTATGTCTTCATTAGCCAAAGATTCGGCTACTTCTTTTAAATACGCTTGTGATAGTGTTAGCTGTTGTAACTCGGTCATCTCTCGTTTAGCGCCATGGAAGGTAGTACCGTTGATAGAGTACAAATCCGTAGGTTTACCCCTACGTGCTATGAATCGGTGAAAAGCTGCCAGGAAGGCGGCAGAAGAAAGGTCGCTAACCAACTCAATATGTAGCGCCTTTGTAGAAAAGCAGACGAATATAGAAAACCAAGCCTTTCCAATTTTGGAGTTTCGTCCGTGCGACATCTTGGTAGCAACAGGACCAGCATAGTCAAGTCCACAGTGAAGAAAGCAACGGCTTGGCTGGACTCTTGCTGTTGGCGCAAAAGTGAGAAGGTGGCTTCTACTCCGGTATGAAGATACGCTTCATGGGTGTATCGGACTAAACGTAGAGCAAGAGGAGAACATTTAGGTAATAAAATTGGATACTTAGTGTTGAATTTGACATGAGCGTGTTTAATGCGTCCACCAACTCGTACTACGCCATCGTGACCTATAAACGGAGTATACCGGAGCAATGAGGATTTTCGTGGGAACGGAATTCTTCGCTGTAGTTGCTGGTATTCGACGCGAAGTGCCGACTGCTGAACGTATTTTTTTATGACGTGCGCTGCGCTGCGTAGCTTAGCAAAAGACAACCAACTAGTTTGTGCGGCTTATTTAAAGCGAATGAAACGTAAACAATATGCTACGATGCGAGTGAGACGAACCCAAGGTGACACATTATTTAGTAGATTATCAATTATATTTTCTTTGTTCGACACGAAAAGTGATTGATGTTTTATTGGTTTTTGTTCTGCGAGAACAGACGTGTCATCCGCCGACAAATCTTGGTGCTTTCCTGTTGGCCACTCCGATTTAGGTAATAGTAGCCAGCTTGGGCCGGTCCACCAAAGCTTATGTTTAATGAGTTTTGATGGCAATAAACCCCGAGACCCGCAATCTGCTGGGTTTTGCTCGGTAGAGACATGGCGCCAATAACTGCGTGGAAAATGTTCTAAAATTTCGGCAGTCCGATTGCACACATAGGTTGTCCATCTACGCGGGTGTGATGACAGCCAATGGAGAACTATTTCCGAATCACTATAACAATATATGTTCTCAATTTTTACTGTCAATGAGCTTTGAATTAATTTTATCAACTTAGTAAGCAATAGTGCAGCGTTTAGTTCAAGTCTTGGTATCGATATTGGTTTCAAAGGAGCCACTCGAGCTTTCGATGCTATGACGTTTGTTCGATATTTACCATTTACCTTTATGCGACTATAAACAACTGCCGCATAAGCTACCGAAGATGCATCTGAAAACCCATGTATCTCGATTGAACCTTCTTCGGATGAAATATGGCGTGGATAGATATGTCTTGCAACAACTTCAGCTCTTGCACATATTGTTGCCGACGCGTACAGAGGTCGAGCGGGAGTGTATCGTCCCAGTTCAGCCCGAGCAACCAAAGCTCTTGGAACAAAATCTTAAATCTTAAAATCTTGGCCATACAATGCCCAAAGGATCGTAGATCTTTGACATTTCCGATAGCACTGATCGTTTGGTAGGTTCCTTAACACACTTCATTGACTTAATTTTCAATGACAATTCATCAGTGCAAGGATTCCACTGTACTCCGAGTACTTTAACAAATGTATCAATCGATTTGCAGTTTAAATCAACGGGATTATATTCACGCAACTCTATTGGAAGAGTACTGAGCAGTGGCCAACAGTTTGAGCTCCACTTTCGTAAACAAAACTTGGCCTTGGTCAGCAATGAAACTAGTTCGTCTTTAGTTTTAATTAAATCTTCTGTCGAATTGTAAGCGGTCAAAATATCATCGACATATACATCGTTTATAAGTACATGCGAAGTAATGGGAAATTCATTTTTGTAGTCATCAGCTAATTGCTTTAATACACGAACTGCTAGAAAGGGCGACGAAGTGAGACCATGCGTTACTGTCAATAACCGATAATGTTCAATTGGAGCATTTTCATCAGTTCGCCAAACAATTTTTTGGAAGTCTGTATGCTCTTTTGACACGCGAATGCCACGAAACATTTTTTCTATATCCACACAAAATACAAAGCGATGCTGTCGAAAACGCAGAGAGACTGCGAAAAGGTCGCGTTGAATGGGTGGACCGACGTGCAAACGGTGATTTAGAGAAACACACGACGAATCTTTGCTAGAACCATCGAAAACAACTCTACATTTTGTTGTTATACTGTCCGGCTTGAATACGGCATGGTGCGGTAGATAAAAACAAGAACCAGTGTTTTGTTGGCGTTGTTGTGCCGATAGCTTCTCCATATGACCTAACGTTAAATACTCACCCATGAACTCTGTATATTGTTCTTTTAATTCAGGAGATAAACGAAACTTTTTCTCCATAAATTTGAGTCGCATGCATGCTTGTTGTAATGTTTGATGAATTGGCGGGGAATTCTCTTTGAACGGATATTCCACGATATATGTACCATCACAGTGTGAGTGGCGGAGAAATGAGCCTCTGCTACGTCCACTGGAACGACATTTGGTGTGGTGGATAAATTGTCCATTTCCATGAACGAGCGAACGAGAGTGTCCAAATCGACGAGGGCATGGTTTATCACTGCTGGTGGTGTGCACAGTTCTCCTGCATGGCATGAGCCTGTTATTACCCAGCCGAAAATGCTATTTAATGCTATAGGCATCGACTGACCAAAATATTTACGTTCGCCGGTGTAAACGGACCATAGCTGATCTGCTCCGATTATGGCATCCACAGAACCTTTTTCGCAAAATGTTGGGTCGGCTAAAGGCAAAGTAAGGATTTTTCCCCATGCAGACGATGAACAATTTACTGCTTTTGTAGGAATGTCGGTGGTCAGTTTAGATAAAACATACGCGCTTATTTCCAGCGAACAATCTGATAACCGTGAAATAAATAGTTTCAATTTGATGAAGCCTCGGGTAGTTCCTGCAGCAGAAGCAGACAAACCGAGTACATAAATACGTGCATGCGTACGAGAAAGTCCGAGGCTTTGTACGAAACTTTCAGTAACGAATGATACTGTGGACCCTGTGTCCAGCAAAATTCGGCAATTCACCACATTTCCCCTTCTGTCATAAGCTTTCGCAAGAATTGTCGGCAAAAGAGTAATAGATAAACTTTTGACACTGAGAAATTGAGTGCTGTTCTCCGCATAACGCACAGCATTTGATTGTTGTTGATGACTCTGCTGCGTTGGCATGATGAGCTAATGCGGTCCGCAGTTTGTTTAATGAACGAGAGGTATTACATGATTCGAAATCATCACACCGACGCGAGAGAAATTTTAAAAGATCTTCAAATGACCGTTCGGTGTGAGAATCGCCGTTTTTAGCCCATTCTTTCCTTAGGGTCGCTATTATTACAATTTAAGGCGTCCAAACCACGTACAGTTTCGTCAGCTTTATCGGCCAAATTCTGAAGAGCTACTATGTTGGAGCTATTGCACGAAGACAAAGACAAGAACTGTTGGGCAAGCGAGTTGACAATTAGCGGTTTTTTGTTGTACCGCTCGACAAGTATGTCCCATTCATCTTTATAGTTATGCTCTGTTAATGGAATGTGCTTCACGAGATTCAAAGCTTCATCTTTTAAATAGGATTTTAGGTAATGAAACTTGTGGATATTACTGAGAGTAGATTTGTTGTCGATTGCGCTTCGAAATAAGTCGCGAAACGACGACCAGTCAGCGTAATTTCCAGAAAACGTTGGTAGAGAGATCTTAGCGAAATGAACATTTGAGTGCGCAGTTGTTGCACTGAAATCGTCTAAGAACTTTGCTTGTTGCGATGCTAGCTTCTCAAAAAGATTTTTTGCATCGTGATTCTTAACGATTTGCGAAACTGGATGGTCCTTAATGAGGCGAGTTAAATTTGCATGAGCAGCGAAATACTTTTCTTCGTACTCCTCGGCATCTTCCTCCGGATCTGTAAAATTTTCGGTTTCTGTATACTCATACAAAGCTTTGCTGATATCGACGAATTCGTTGTAGGATTCCTCCAATTTATGTATACCATTTTTTAGCTGCTCTATTGGCGTAGCCGTATCAAAGCTTTTACCGCTAGCACACGCACGTGTAATAGCGCCTTTAACCCATCCACGTTGTTTGAGTAATTTATCCATTTTTCATACTAAACTAATTTGGCTGTATTGGTGATTTGAATACTTGATGCGCGGTATTCGTATTTTAATCAAAAACGCGATATTGAAAAAAGACTATGTGCCACTNCTTCGTACTCCTCGGCATCTTCCTCCGGATCTGTAAAATTTTCGGTTTCTGTATACTCATACAAAGCTTTGCTGATATCGACGAATTCGTTGTAGGATTCCTCCAATTTATGTATACCATTTTTTAGCTGCTCTATTGGCGTAGCCGTATCAAAGCTTTTACCGCTAGCACACGCACGTGTAATAGCGCCTTTAACCCATCCACGTTGTTTGAGTAATTTATCCATTTTTCATACTAAACTAATTTGGCTGTATTGGTGATTTGAATACTTGATGCGCGGTATTCGTATTTTAATCAAAAACGCGATATTGAAAAAAGACTATGTGCCACTAAAACACGTGATACGCGGTGTTTTAAAATAGTTAAAACAAAAAATCCGGCTCGAAGGACCAAATTTATTTTGTCCAATAATGAAACGAGTACGTTTGAAGGTCAAAATTGAACTGATTTATTCGGGCAAAGTACATGAATATGAATATGCAAGCGATGTAGTAAACTAGAATTAGTACATGTATATAAGTTATAAAGAAAAACCGATTACAGAGTCTTATCGATTATTATGAGAATATAATGCTGTGTTCCCATTCATGAACAACAGTTTTTCAATACCTTTCATTTCGCGGCACTGAACTTTTGGAGAATATGGTCTTGTTCTGGCTGATGCTAATATCCGTGGTAACAAAATGTTGAGAACAGACATACGGATATTTTAGAAGGTCTTTCTCGTTCAATCCATCTTTGTCTCACAAAATGAAGTGCTGCAAATTTAAAAAATTGTGTTTCGGCAGTGGTATTTTGTATTTTTGCAGATTCCAAATGCGGAACCATTTTTTTGATTTTAAAAAATTAATTTATTTTTTGTTTAGTATATCAAATTTTTTGCAGAAGAATATTTTATTATAATTTTCAATCTGGTATCTGGATTTTCATGATAATGTCATAATCTTAACAAAAATCAAATGGCTAACAAGACTGCTAATGTAATTAAGCGAAACTACCCTCTTTTTTCTACCATGCATGGCAGGTATTTTTTTTATATTTTTTGAAGATTGATAATTTTATCTTCTGAAATCGTTTACTGACGTGAAAATTTGTTTAGAATACGAAACTGTTTTCACGCCCTACAAAAATTATCATTTTTTCTTATTTTTGCATTTTTTGTAAAACATTTTCCAGAATGTCACTTTTTTAAAAGTAAGCTTAAGGAATAAATAAGTTTAGAAACTGTTAGAAAAAAGTATACTAACCGATAAGCATTGTACTGATTTTTAACATTAAATGCATGATTTTTAAACATTTGCATATCACTTTAAAACCCATTTATTAGATAAGTTAATGTTGAAGTTTATCCCACTTTCTTCATGACATTAACGAGGGGGTTTTCTTGAGAGGTGGGCTTTTTTTTAACCTTTCTTCGGCAACAACTTCCCATATATGCCATTTGAACACTTTTGGAAAAATAAGATATTTAAATAAAAAATCCCTTTCCACCTAAAAGACACATTATATTAGAAATATTTCCAGATTTCACATGTTCTGATTTTTTTAGAGAGTCTTACTTTACAAAAATATAAAATCAAGGAAATCCCCTGCTGCAATAAACCGACATTGGTAATTATCTTATTTTTAGTGTTTTTTGCACAAAAAACTGGGTGACATTCCGGAAATATTTAGCCGTACTTACCATGGTGCAATGGTAAATTCACTTAAAAATACAAAATAATTGCTTTTATTATGTCATTCGATCAATAACTTCTTGCGCTTCTTAACTGCAGTGCATTTAGGCAAGCAAAACAACTGATATTAATATCACGGTAAATTAAAAAAAGTGGCATTCCGGAAAATTCGTAGGGACATTATTATAATAAAGAGCCATGGTTATGTTCATAAAATTTTTTTGACAAAAATAGAATACGTCTTTTCCCATTGTTTCTTTGTTTAAACTTTTTTTCATGTTGATTATCGAATAACCTGAGCGGGGACAAATATTTTTATATGGAGTAGGTAAAATACATACATATATCAAAGAAATACCTAGTGATAGAACGATACGAGTACCGAGTACAGAATATGGATACTTTTCACGAGTACTGAGTAGTATCGAGAACTCGATACTTTTTCACAAGTATTGAGTAAATATCGCGAATGCCGAAATGTATCGACGAGTTAAAAACTTTTTTAAGTAAATTTTTTTTTAAATTACCAAATAAATATTGTGGCGAACGTTCGAATATTAACTTCAACATCCAATATGAATGTTATGAAAATGAACATAAAGCTCATTTACTTCAAAACTGTTATAACTCAAAAAACCTAAAACTCGATAAACACGCCTTTAAAGTTTTTAATTCACACATCGTCACCCCCATACCATAAGCATAAATGTGCAAATTTATCAGTTTTGAGTTATTGGGTTGACTTGGTTAATCTTTGGATTTTCTATGTTATACCAAACCCCAGAATACCATGCGTACACGGAAAGTAAATATTTTGCAATTTCAATTGCTTAAATGTAGAGCTAAGTCTCGCAAAAAAAAACTTTCAAACTTGATTTCCCAAAATGTTCATTTTTACACATTCATGTTTATCTCTTGCGGGTTACAGAAGGGCGAGAACTCTCCGCAGACTCAAAAATTAAGATTAGTGCCACAAGAGATTATTTTGCGATATTGAGCCGATTGGGTATTTGAACCCCAGCCTGGTGTAATTCATCAAAACCACTTGAAGGATCGATCGAATTCGCGTCCACAAAATAAGCACTGTACGATAGTTAATAAATAAATGGTTAATATGTTGTCCGGAGTAGAAATGACTACGATATCTACTGTCTTTTCTGAGTATCCACAGGAGCAAGTAGAAGTAGGGGAGTTGCACCTCGTGACTTGATACTAAAAGTAATAGTACATAGTTAGCATAAATAGCATGATTGTTGTTGTTTCATGTGTTCAAACAACAACAAAATTAGCCAGTAGTGCTATCTGTGCACCATGCTAGACAGTATGCACCGGATCGTGAATACCCCTAATGTAATTGTTTGGATACCGCAATACAAATATTTATGTACATATAAAGGGTTAGTTAGTGGACTTTAAACATGTGATTCGAATTATACTATCCCATATAAATTCAAAGCCCAGCGAATCAACACTTACTTTTGTATTTAAACGTCGCCGATTCAAAATTATTGTAGCGTTCGCAATAACAAGAAATAAGTCTCAAGGTCAGACCCTAGCAAGAGGATTGGTTAACGCAAGGCGTATCGAGTAAATACCACGTAAGTTAACTACCAAAAGCAATGCATGTGGTTTTTAGAATAAAGAAATATGGAGATTTTTTAGACCATGGAGCACCCCGATTTTCGGGGATTATTACTAGTTATAAAATATT